TAGGCTGGGTCACGGGCGGTCTCAACTGAAACGCCATTCGTAATCTTGTTTATGTCTGTAGTTTTGGTGAACGACAGACACCGAAACGCAGATATTTACAGTTCTTACTCTGTGAAATTATTCATTCCCATTCGTACTTTTTTTTGTGTATTTGTGACGTGTAAAGTCTATTCGCACATGTAAACACAAATATATGCATTACGGCAGGTGCATTTTCTGAACAGTTTATGCCTTTACAGATACACAAATATAGTCATATTTGTACAAGAAAAGTGAAGGTCCCTTATATCATTCTTCTTTATTTATCCACCTGTTACATTTATTTATTTACACATTTTCCCTTTTCACCATAACTCCTTTTCAAATCTGAATCAAGACACAGTATCTACACCAGTACTTCCGTTCTGTTTCGTCTAACTCCCAAAAAACAAAAACAAAAAAAAACGTGATATACATTTCCCTAGACATTTCTACTAAAACATAACACATTTTCACCTCCATTGATACCCTTGACTTCTAAACATTTGAACTGATATGAAATTATTGTAACCATTTGTGTTACGTTTCTTCAACATCTATTACTGAATCACTTGTACATGCTTTTTTCTGTTTTCGAAATACAGAAATTACAGGTTTTGAACACCATTTTGAATACCTTTTAACAAACAGACTCTATGGCTACTCTGTTTTATCACTATTTAGATGGCTAGAACGCAATCTGATAATTATGTAGATGATATTGATGATACAGTGATGAAGTCATAATGATAACATAATGACAACACTTTATAAGGTTAATGATAAGAACATTTATAATCTAGAGTTGATAATGACAATGGTGATTGTAATGATGGTTTTAATGACGATGATGGAAAAAATAAGAACACTAACAAGAAAAAGAACTATTTAAATGATAATGATAATAGTATTGATAATAATAATGATAATGATAATGATAATGATAATGATAATAATAATGATAATGTTAATGGGAATATGGTGATATCAACAATCACAACAATAAAAACATGAAAATTATAATCCATAAACAACTATAAGAATACTGATAGTTATGATGATAACAATTATAATAAAACAATAACAATGGTAATGATAATAATGATAATAATGGTCATTATGATAATAATAATAGTAATAATTATAATAACAATAATAACGATGATAATAATGAAAATGACGATGACGACATTGATGATGATGATGATGATGATAATAATAATAATAATAATAATAATAATAATAATAATAATAATAATAATAATAATAATAATAATAATAATAATAGTAATAATAACAATAATAATAATGATAATAATAACAACACTAATGATAGCAAGAAAAACAATGATAGTTATAATAACAACAAAAATAACAATAATGATAAAATAATAATAGAAAAATAATGATAATAATGATAATGATAATAATAATAATAGTAATAGTAATAATAATGATAATGATACTACTACTACTACTACTATCACTACTAGTAATATTAACAATAATAATAATGATAATAATAATGATAATGATAATAATAATAATGATAATAATAATAATAATAATAATAATAATAACAGCAACAGTAATAACAATAATAATAACTACAATGCTAACAGATGATAACAATAATTCTAATAACACTATTAGAACTATCACCAATGACATAAATAATAATAACAATAAGATTAATAATAACAGTGATAATTACTGTCTATTAAATAATAATAGTTTGGCAGGCAGATGCAGTTATCATTAATCTACCCATATTTACTTACTTATGTAATCTACTTCATCCAAAAGGCCAAAAATGTCAGCATAATTACATAGACGATTAATGAAAGCTAGTAATGACTGTGGTGAAGGTCCGAATAGAGGATCGTCTCTGAACTACGTAATATTTACTCAGGAGTAACAAAGTACCACTTTACTTTATTTCCCTTTGCGTGTAAATAAGACTACGTAGGGATGTAGTAGTAGTGGTAGTAGAGGTAGTAGTGGTAGTAGTTGTAGTAGTGGTAGTAGTAGCAGTCGTAGTAGTAGTAGTAGCTGTTGTAGTTGTATTAGTAGTTGTAGTCTTGTTGTTTGTTGTAGAAGTCTTGTCAATTGGTAATTAATAAGCCACTCATGTATAACTTTCGTTACGATCCGCCAGCAACTTTTCCCATGATATTGCTAACAAATAAATTGATAAATGGTTGCAGGGACACGCAAGATACAGTCAGATAGTGATGATACATTACCGGTGGTTTGCCAAAGGTCAAGGAATCGATTCATAATATCTTGGTGGGGTTCATGTAGGTCATCTACTGCTACACATCTATCCCGGATTACCACCGAAAACCGAACGTTTCTAAACCGGCTCACACGATTTTTTTTTTTTTTTTTTTTTATCACAGCCCGTTTGCTGAAAATTTGACTAATCTCACTGACGTGACTAACAGACATGCGCAAAGAGTTACTGATTTTTTTTTTTTTTAATAAATCATATGAAGGCGCAGTCACACGAGCATTTTCCTCACCAACAGACTTCGTTGCCACGCGGAAAAATCACACCCTGAACGCACAACGATAAAACCACGACTCGAGGGCATCAGCTCAGTCAACAAGCACAGTTCTGCAAGGTCAAGTCGACGGATATTCCTACAGTTTTCATACAATATTTCGCGGTGTTGTCTTGTCTTTCCCTGTCAACTTTTTATATACATACATACGCACACAGACACACACACATACTTACACACACGGGCATTCTCTCTCTCTCTTTCTCTCTCTGGCTGTCTCTGTCTCTGTCTCTGTCTCTGTCTCTGTCTCTGTCTCTGTCTCTGTCTCTGTCTCTCTCTCTCTAGCTTTCTCTCTCTCTGTCTGTCTCTGTCTGTCTGTCTGTCTGTCTGTCTGTCTCTCTCTCTCTAGCTTTCGCTCTCTCTGTCTGTCTCTGTCTGTCTGTCTGTCTGTCTGTCTGTCTGTCTGTCTGTCTCTCTCTCTCTCTCTCTCTCTCTCTCTCTCTCTCTCTCTCTCTCTCTCCCTCTCCATATATAATATATATATATATATATATATATATATATATACACATATATTTACACACACACACACACGCGCACACGCGCACGTACACACACACACACACACACACACACACACACACACACACACACACACACACACACATATATATATTATTTAACACATATATATCAATACCGTTATCAAAATTAATGCATTAAGTTTAGTTCTCCAGATTTTGAATTTTCTTCCTTGTTTTCCTGCATGTGCAAGAATTCACCCAAACAGGGAAATTCTCCTGCATCTGGCAACACTGAACAGACATGGCTAGCACTCCTAAGGGTTTTTTTGGTCCTTCTCGCAGAAACACTGGCTAAATTTCGCAAATATTTGTCAAGAAAGGGAAGAATAGGCAGATGTGGGTGTGCTTCTGGTTAACGAGAAGAAAAGGGTGAAGTTTATCATGCTTTTTGATTGTTTTTTTTTTTTTTTTTTTTTTTTTTTTTTTTTTTTTTTTAAACTCGCGCTACAAGACACCCGTTGATTTGTTTGTACCTAAAATATAACATTACAAAATTAGTACTAAACGCAACAAATATGACAAAAAAAAAATATATATATACACAACCTATAAATACAATATTTCCATTTAGAATACAGTTTCCATGTTGTTCAACTGCGTGGAAAAATCTTACGAACAAGCGAATCCGTGAACGACCGAGCAGTCCACCCACACTATCGCACATTTGCTGTTGATAAAGCGTTCGTGTGACCCCCCCCCCCACCCCGACTAATTAAGGTGTCTGTAGATGAGGTACTAGACGGTGGGCTTTTGGTGCTCTGGGTAGATAATCTACTCTTGAACAACGTGAACATCTACTCCTCTGTTCCAGAATAACGCTAAATTTTATTCAACTTGTCCCAGGTTCTTATCACAATTTGTCTTATATAAGAATAATGGCATATAAGAATAATTGTTAATATTACTATTAATCATAGTCAATAACGATAATAAGAGTAATAATAATAATGATAATAATGATAACAAAAATAATTATAGTAAAAATAATAGTTACATTGAAAAAGATGCTGATAATAAAAATAGAAACAACAACAATAGCAATAATGATAATAATAATGATAATAATAATAATGACAATAATAACGGCAATGATAATAATTAGCATGACAGTGATGATGAAGCTAATAGTGATAACAACAACAATAACAACAACAGCAGCAATAGCGATACTGATAATAACAATGACTATGATTATAATAATAACTATAGTAATTACAATAACAATGATAATAATAGTGATAATAATGATAATGATGATGATGATGATGATGAGGATGATGATACTGATGATAATAATGATGATGATGATGATGATAATAATAATTATGATAATAATAATAATAATAATAATAATAATAATAATAATAATAATAATAGTAATAACAATCAAAATAATAATAACAAAAATGATAATGCTAATAGTAATAATAACAAAAGTAATAATAATAATAATAGTAACTGTGATTACAATAATAATAATAATGACAATACTGAAGCTATTACTACTACTGTTTCTACAACAACTACTAGCAGTAGTCAGATTAGTAATGATAATAGTTGATAAAATGATAATAATTACAATGCATGTAATAATTCAAGATATTATCATTAATACAAGACAGCTCTGAGGTAGGTGAAATCGAGGCCACTAAGATTAATCTCAAGTCAAAGATATATTCCGGCTAACACACACACACACACACACACACACACACACACACATATATATATATATATATATATATATATATATATATATATATATATATATACATATATATATATATATATATATATATATATATATATATATATATATATATATATATATATATATATATACGCACACACACACATATACGAACGCACACACACACATATACGAACGCACACACACACACAAACACAGACTATTACATAATATTTACAAATGCAGAGGACACCCGTACACAAGCACATCTCCAAACAGGCCTCTCGGCTCAGACGATAACGCAGGGTCTCTTTCTGGTCTTCCTCTTGTGGTAGGCGACCGCCGCCTTTGCCGCCGCCCGGAACACGCCGTTGAGGCCGCTTTGGGTGCGGGCGGAGCACTCGAAGAACTCCTCAGCCCCGATCTTGCGAGCCAGTTCCTTCCCCTGCGCCGTCGTAACCACCTCGTCGTCACTCTTGCCGCGCCGGAGGTCTGTCTTAAGGCCTGTGGAAAGGGCGAAGGTGAGATGGGCGAACGCAGACTGTTGAACTTAATACGGGTCGACGTATTAATATTCATGGTCTCTGGGGGTCAGCTCCGTCCTATATATATATATTTGTTTCCTTTTTTCTTTAAAGTGAACAGATAGTACGAGGTGAAAGGGTCACTTGAGGCTACAATGAGTCCATCCGTCGTAATGATAAGTGGTATTAAGTATCATTATTGTTATCATTGTTATTATCACTGATCATTATAATAATAATGTGAATAAGGATAAACAGAAAGAATAAGAATTAAATGTAGAAGAATGGTGATATTTGTTGTAGAAGTAATCGTAAAGGCATTGGAAAAAAATAGTAGATAATGAAAAAGAAGAAGAAGAAGAAAGAATAATAATAAGAAATACGAATAGAGACAGAGCAATGATAATGATAAGAGACTGAAGTAGTTGTAGAAAATGAAAAGAAGGCATTAGCATTTACTTGTCATTATTATCCTTAATATTGGTATCCTCATTATCATTATTATTATCATTATTTTCATTATTATTATTATTATTATTATTATTATTATTATCATTATTATTATTATTATTACTATGATTATTATTATTATCATTGTTAATATTGGCATCATTATTATCATTATCGCTATTATTATCAATATTTTTATTATAATTTTCATTGTTATAATCATTATTATAGTCATCATTATTATCATTATCATTATTATCACAAGTATTATTATTTTTGTTTTTATTAGTATCATCATAATCATTATCATTATTGTTATCATCATTATTATCATCAATGGAATTATTATCATCATTATTTTTATCATTATCTCCATAACCATAATTATCATGACTATTGTTATTATTATCATTATCATCATCATCATCATCATTATTGATAGTAGTAGATAATAAGTAAGGAAGGAAGGAGTAATAATGAGAGATTGTGAAGAAGACGAAGATGATGAGAAAGAAGAAGAAAAAATATGAAAGAAGAGAAGAATAAGAATAAGAAAAACTAAAGAAGAAAAGGCAGAAGACGAATAAATAGATTTCATAGCATAATAATCATAATAATAAAAACAACAACAATAACAATAACAACAATAATAATAACAAAAGTAACGATAACGATAATAACTGTAAAAATAGCAACAACAACAACAACAACAACAAAAACAACAACAACAACAACACAAACAACAACGAACTATAAGGTATGAAAACCTTACCAACTAAAACAACGGGCTTTTTCTCGCCCCCGTTGTGCGTAACATCGGGGAGCCAGAAGGACAGCACCCGGTTGAAGGAGACGATGTTATCTACGCTGTAACACAGGATGAACACACTGGCCTGTAGGGGGGGGGGAGCGAAAAGGGTAAAATAACAGTGGTTTCAGGGAGATTTAGGGGGTTCTACTGAAGGCTGAAGGCGATTCTGCTGAGGGATGACGTAGCGGTCTTTTCAGGAAATTTTTGTGGTTCTGTAGGCTGAAGGCTGATTAGGAAAATGTAGTGAAAAGCGGGAC